TTTTGACTTGCATCTAGCATAGATTATGACAATTCTTTCTGTGAGCCCAAAAGAGTTAGAAAGAGAGTGGAAAAAGAGTTTAAATTAAGCCACGCGTCATCCTGAGTGTCAGGATGGAGGAGGGAGACAAGCCAGGGAAAATGATGTCTGCAACTTTTAATCTTATTTATATCAACCCCATGGCTGTCATCAGTCTATTTATGCAGCTGCGAAGATGTTCTTCAGAACGCCTTCCGTGTATATATATCTGTGCATGTGCACTTGTGTATTTATACAGCTCCAGGGGGGACTCGTTTAGTAAATGATGGGAGATGTTTCACCAGCTGAGGCTGGGCTCCTTCCACAGTGTGCAAACTGCTTTTCCCTTTTGTGTGCTTTTGGGATTTTGAGGCTGCCAGGGTCAGTGCTGTGGGATATATGCTCCTGGAGCCATGTAGCAGAAAGCCTTGCCCTTGCAGTGCTAAGTTTTAGAACTGAAGGTAAATAGAAAGAAAATGTTATGGGTTCCTGGCACAGCCTGGGCTTGGGGGAAAAATCTGAACAGCTGGCAATGATTCATCTCCAAGGTGGCTGAAATGTTTTAATTTTTTTTTTTTTTTTAAGACAGAAGTAAAGGGGTTTCTGAAACAGAATGTTCTTTCCAGCTGAAAAACTGAAACTTCCCATCTGTGGGGAGGGAGAGAGAGGCCAAGCTAATCCTTTCAAAATACTCACCATTTTTCTAAAAATGTGACTTTCAACTCGGAAAACCTCCCTAGGTGACTTACAGTCATGAAATACTGCAGTGTTTGGAAAGTCAGGAATTTTTTTTGCACTCCCCCAGATCTTTATTTTGGTGGAAAACAGCAAATCTGGCCTGAACATTGATTCATGGGCTTGGGGGAAGAGATGGGGCTGAACAGATGGGGACATACATGCTGGATTTCATCTTATCAAAATGGACATTTCTTCCTCTCCTATGAGTGTATAATGAATGATAGGATTTGTTTTTGTTGCTTATATGTAAGAAATTGCAGTGTAGCAGCAACCAGCTTCCCAAACTGGTTTGCATTGGTGTCTACAGGGAGGGACTCCTCCAAACAGGTGGCGGCAGCGGGTGTTCTGTCCTTTAATTGGAACAGGATCAACCTCACTGAACACATCCCAATTGCCTTATTTATTTTTATTTTTTAATATAGTTAATATAGTTAATATAGTTTTTTAAGCAGTGTGTGCACAAAACACATACGGCAAAAGAGCACGTTAAGGAGAGAGATGTATATCAGAGCATTACCAAGAGTGATAATTTAATGAAAGCAAATACCTGTGCTTGTGATTACACCAGAGTGGGGAAATAAGGACTTCTTAACAGCATTAGCCACTGGCACAGATTTATATGAATAATTACAGCCCAGACACCAATCTTGGGAATTACCCATAGCGCAGGATACCTGCTTATTTTGGGGGTCTGTAATATTCAGGTATTATTCCCAAAATATTACAATATTTTGGGTTATGAAATATATATCCCCTTAAAGATTTAGGGCTAAGAGCACTTTGTAGTGTCTCCAAAATGTGCAAGAGCAGGTGTGGGTGCTTGGTGCTTTGCTCCTGCACTTTTGCATCAATGGTGGAGTGTGTTAATTATAGCGTATTAATTATATGTAATAATTAAAACATGCATGCTGTGAAAAGCCCCTTGCTAACATCATGCAGCCCTTTTGCTCTTGTTGTCAAGGGGAAAAAAAAGGCATTGAGGAAATCGCTTTAATTCCCTCCTGGGACTTGGTGCTACCTGGCCAGAGCAGGATCCGTTGAAGGCATTTGGTGCTAAATAAAATGCTAACAATGAATGCAGTGGGAGGGCAGGGCTCCTTGAAACAGAAACAGCTGCATGCAGGGTTGCACTGAGCCTAAAGTGGGTTTGAATGAAGGAAAACGATGGCTCCAAGGTAAACTTGAGGCTGGATAAGCTGTGATTTGGGAATGCTGCTGTTTCATTTTACAGTGGCTTTTTATTGTTAAAAAAGGATGAAAATAGTGAGACCTTTTGCTATCACAGCAAAGCAAAATATTTGGGGTTAAACGCAGTGTGTTGGGTTATCCCATGGTGATGTTTCTTTGCTTTTCAACTGCCTGAGTTTCTATTTTTGATGGAGAAATGCCAGCAAGGGTCATGAGCAAAGCAGCAGTCGGGGCTGGAAAGAATGGGTGGATTCTCCTGCTGAGACATTTCTATTGAAAGCAAGTTCCAGGTCCATAAATTGAGATAAATCTTCCTTTCTGCTGAGAAAATTGGATTATTTTAAGATGGGTGAAGTCTGAGAAACTGGTGCCATGCTGCAACCACATCTGCAGCATCCCAGTGCCTAAATCCTCCCCAATGCATTTTTTCCCAATGGAAGCATCTCTTCCCACTGACCTAACCTGAAATATAGGAAATCCCAATTCCTTCTCTCAGAGCAGGATTTCACCAGGACTTTTTCCCCCACGACACCAAGTTTAAGAAAAATCATAGAACCACAGATCGATTGAAGTTGGAAAAGACCTCTAAAATCCTCAAGTCCAACCCCAACCCATCTGTTACAATAGGAAAGATTAACGCGTGGAAGGGTGATACAGTAGTATCACCCAGCAAAGGGTCCAGCATTCATAGGATGGTATTTCAAAGGAAAAGTAAAGGTGCTCACCCGTATCTGAAGATCTCAATTCACAGAAAAACTCCACAAGAGAGGGATCTCCAACCAGAGATCCTTCACCAGTAGCAGTCAGCCCTCAAATGGGATCTAAGAGAGATGAACCCAGGCTCCAACACTTCCTGTCCCACAGCTGAACTGCCTTCCTCCTGTGCTCCTGGGACTTGACTGGTCCTTTCCCCAGGTGCTCAATGGTTCAGGCTGTGACTCAGCAGTACTGTAAACCATCCCACTATGCCCACTGTGTCCATCAGTGCCACATCTCCACACTGAATGCCTGCAGTGATGGTGACCCCACCATCTCACTGGGCAGCCTGTACCAATGCCTTGCCACTCTTTTGAAGATTTTTTTTTTCTAATACCCAACCAGAAAATCCATGGGGATAGAGAAGGGACTTGTAAGGAACAGGGATGCCTACAGCTTGAACAGGTGTTCAGAGTCCCCTTCCAGCCTCACCAGAATTCCTTTATTTCACCTGCATATGGGCATTTTCCATCAAGAGGGATGTTGAAAGATGGGAACCTGCTGAAGATCTTCAATGCACTTCATTGAGTTTTTCAGCCAACAGGCAAAAGTCAGGTCTTATACAGACTCAATGAGCACTTGTTTTGGCAAGGAATATCCTCCCTAAAAAAGCTCATTTTGGGGTCACCTGACTCCTGACAAAGGGTTGGGGAGGACGGGCAGTGCAGACAGCTAGAGACACGTGCTGCTCTTCGCCAGTTTCCTCATTAATCTTGATTATGAAGCCCTCGTGCTGAAGTTAATTTTCTTGTAGATGCATATCAGTCATGTAGCTGGGAATTTTGCGTGCACTAATGAGAAATTGCAGCCTTGTCACATTATTACTCTGCTAATTAGTACACAGACTTCTTCTGGAAAGGTCAGGAGAGAGGGGCTGAGAAACTTCACTTTTTTTTGTACCAAATTGGGGTCTCTTGGTGCAGAGGGAGGTGTGCATATAGCTCTCTGCCCCGGATTTCTGCTGTTCCTAAAGGTGTTGAGGACAGTGCTTTGGATCTTGTTTTTGCATTGTCTCCATCCATCAAGGATGGGAAGGATGTTGGCTCCATCCTCAAATAGGGATGTTCTGTTGCAATGGGATAAAGCTATGGGAAAGCCCTTATTTCAGAAAAGAAAAGACAAAGAACAGCCAAATCAGCTCATTTTGTGCTTTTCTAGCCTCTGGGGCTGTCAGCAGAGTACCTTAACCAGCCTCTAAATTCACAGGAAATTAAAACCCAGGCAAAACCCAATGAAGCCAGACACCCAATATAAACGGCAATATCTTCATCCAACAATTTACATCGCTTACTGTCTCCTCCAATGTCCTGGGATTCAGCTGACAGCCTGCACACTTCTCTTGCGTTCCACTACTAAATCTGGAGGCTGTCAAAGGCGTTTTGCTGGGGAAAGACGATAACTACTTCTCCAAGCACTTTGAGATGCTCCTCCCAGCTCACTGGGGGTGGTTGTGCATGCAAAAGGCAGTTGCAGAATGGGGAAAAAAAGGACAAAATTGAGGTTGGGAAGGCTTTGTAAGGAGAAATTGCCCAGGGAAGCAGTCACTGTTCCTGGAGGTGTTTAGGAAAAGGGAAAGGTAGATGTAGTATCTAGGGACGTTGGTTAGTAAGCAACATTGGTGGCAGGGGAGTGTTTGGAATGGATGATCTTAGACGTCTTTCTCAAACTTACTGATTCTATGTTATCTTCCTGCTAATCATCCCTCTTCTGTACACTGTTTTGAGCCGGGTGAACCTTTTGAACTTTGAGCCTCATCTTTTTACCCCTATAAGTGTTTCACCTATGAGTTACATCATCCAATCGATGGGGGGAAAAAAATAATCACTGTGTGTCTCTCCCGCGGGCATGGTTAAGCTAGGGACGCTATTTCTGCTGCTCAGGCATTGAGAGAGCAGAGAGAAAACCCACCCCTGTGCAGAGGAATTTCAGCAATTAATTGACTTTGATTTGATTTGATTTTGCAGTGACCTATGCAGAGCCTGATTTCTTTCATTGGGGGTTGGTTAGTGAAGAAGCAAGCCACAAGCCAGCAGATTCCATCAGTCTGGTGCTGCTGGTTGTGTTGGTTTGGAAGCTGTAACCCCCAAGGACAATGCTGGGGACTGTTTGCACGAGGCTGGCTTAAAATGAGGGGAGATCTTGCGATTTTGGGGAATGGCAGAGTGAAGCTGGGATTCAGAGCACAGCCTTCCCTCATAAACCACGCACATTCATACAAATCACGGCCCGCCCTGCACCCCGCGTCCCATCCATCCCCACCCCCTCCCTGCAGCCCCGCCCTGGGGCCGGACCGGGGCGGGCTTAGCCGGGAGGTGGGTGCCGGAGGTTCGAGCGGTGACATCGCGGTGCTGGAGCTGCGAGCGGTCGGCTCAGCTCGGTGGGATCGGCAGAGAGGGGCGTCGAGCCCAGCCCGGCACCGCCGCGATGCCTTCCGGACCCCCCCATGCTACAGCCAGTGGTTCGGGGCACCGGTGAGCCCTATGGGGGCTCCCCTCCCTCCTCCCCCGCGGACGCTATGCGGACCATGAGCCCCCTGCCCCTCTTTTTACTGCTGCTATGGGATTTCCTGGACCTGGCACTGGGTGAGTTCCATCACCCCCTCACAACGGGATCAGCCCTGTGCCCTGATCCTAAATAACGGGAAAATGCTGTGCTGCGGGTGTGCGGGGGCTCTAGGCTCTGTGCCCCCCCTCGCGGCTTGGGAAAGGCTCTCCGTAATGGGAAAGTGGTTCTGGACCCGGTAGTAGGATGGTGGTTTTGGATCTGGGAATAGGGCACCCTTGATAACGCAGTGTTTTGCACTCTATAATAGGGTGCCCAGGAATAGAGGACCCGCTAATATGGCAATGGTATTGGAGCTGGTAATAAGGCACCATGTAATAGGACAGTGGTTTTGGACTTGGTGATAGGGAGCCTGGTCATAGGGCATCAGTTTTGGACCTGAGATTAGAGTGCCTGTTAATAGGTCTTCAGTTTTGGACCTGATAATATGGCACTGGTTTTGGATCTGGGCATGAGGCACCAGTAACGGAATAGTGGTTTTTGGGCCACTGGTAATAGGAGAAGCCACTAATAGGGTGATTAGTTTGGATTTGGTAATGGTGTATCAGACATTGACCTGTTAATAGGATGCCTGCTAATAGGATGCTGGATTTTAACCTGTTAATAGGGCACTTGTTAACTGAATGCTAGGTTTACATCTGTTGATAAGGTGGTTGCATGCAGAGTGCCTGGTTTGGACTTCATAATAGGGTAACTCAGTAATAAGGCAACCCATTTGGACCCAGTAACAGGGCATCTGTTAACAGAGTACCAGATTTGGACCTAGTATTAGGTCACCCATTAGTAGGATACTTGGCTTGGATCTGTTAATAAATGAATCTGCTGATAGGGCAGTAGGTTTAGCCCCTTTAATAGAGTACCAAATTTGGACATGCTAATAAGACAGGCATTACTAGGACACCAGTTTTAGACCCATTAGTAGGGCACTTGCAAATAGAACACCCAATTTTTACCTCTTAATAGGGTTCCCCCCAATAGGACATTGTTTTTGAATCTATTAACAGGATGCTGACGTTGTCCTCATTAATAGGAACCTGCTAATAGGGTATGCAGGAATAGCCCATAGTCCATTCTCTGTATAGTGCATCAAAGCCCTGCCTGCTCTGCACAGCTCTGAGTGCTGGGAGGTGAGTGGCACTGATTGGGCAACTGTTGGGATTTTGCTATTTCTAACACGCTTTTTCCTGCATAGAATGCAGCCATCAGCTGCTGCAGGGCACAGGGAGGGGGAGCGGTGGACGCGCTCTGTAGGATTGGCACAAAGGGGCCAATTCTTCTCGAGTTTGAGGTGAAGTGCACGATATTATCCTTTGTGGGTAGCACAGATCCACCTGCATAAAGCTGAGTTACGCTTTTAATGTGCTTTTCTGCTGATGATTGATGAGAGTGGGGATGGGTAAGGCTGTGTTTCTGGTGTATGTTTGGGGGGGAGAAAGAGGTCAAAGCATTTGTTCTGTGGATCAGTGCGGGGCTGTGGGGTGAGAAATGATATGATAGGATCTGATCATGGCGTGTGGATCTGGATTAGTGCTGCCATGAGCTCAGCATTCAGCTCCTAAAACCCCACTAGAACTTCTCTGTGTTCCCATATCCTGAGGTTGAGCCGCTTGAAGTGTTTCCTTAGCGCTGTCCCAAAACCCAGCACTTTCCAAGCAAAAAAGAAATATATCATTGCAAAAAGCCCATCCCGATGCTCTGGTAGTGGATGGCAGTTCCTGAGGTTCAGCATTGGGCAGATGGCTTTTTCTTGGCTGAGAACATTCTTGGCTGGGGATTCTGCACCCGGGGATCTCCAGCCTTATTCTTGCCAGGGATGCAGCAGGATCCATGCCTACAAAGGGGATGTTAAGTCCCGTCACTTTTTCCTCCACAATGCCTCTCTGAAGTGGTAATTTTGTTCTTTTTTCTCTATATGCACTGTCTACAATGCATGGTGCGTGCTCTGTGTTCTCCCCGTGATTTCCCCTATTGCTGCCCCATCTCTGTGGGTGTGATTGAACATCCTATCAGCAGTGCACACACTCAAGCAAAGCATCCATAAGAGCATCTGTGAGTGCATTTTGGGGCTTTCCATCTGAATCCATCACTTCTGCATGAAAAGCCCTTTTATTCCCTCATACGATGCTCCCTGTTTTCTGGATGTGTGGTAGGCCAGCTATGCCCTTCCCTATACAGCTTTTCCCATTAAAACAAGTTCAATCTCTCCCCTTGGCCAGGAAAAGCAACCTGAGCATGGCTAAGTGGGTTGAGAGAGCATCAGAATGGAAAAATGAGGGCATATGCAGGAGGTGAGCGGTCAGACGGTGGCTGGCAGTGGCCCCATAGCCTTGCAGTGGTGGTTTTTGGAAAGGCACAAAGTCTCATCTGCAGGCAGGGTGATGGCTCCTTGGCCGCCCCAGGCTGTTTGCTGGCACTTCACTCGTTGCCTGAAATACGTTCCCATCATATGCTCATCAGGTTTCTTTTAACGGGCAGGGAAAATCAGAGCTGTGTTTTGCAAACATGAAAGGAGAGTTAAATATGTTGAAGTCTGATCTCAGTGAGATATTGATATTGCCGTCATCTGAGAAGGTTTGGGGTAGAAAAGGAGAAAATTCAGTGTTCAGGTGTCTGGGAGTTTGCACGGTGCAGAGAGAGGAGGAGCTTCCTTGCACCACGTACAGAACAACCTGCTCTAATTCACCTACGAGCACACTGCGCTGACCTGGAAAAGCAGAACATGTTCCGTCAGCCTTCCTGCTCCTGCTTTCCCATCTCGTATTCAGCTCAGGGTCACCTTCTCTTTATCCTTTCCTCCTCTTTTCCATGAATTTCTGCTTCCTGCAAAGCCTCATGCTGCCTGAGTAAATCCATAAAGTCCTTCTGACAATCCACCCTGCTAATTGCCCTTGCCCTCTCCCAATTAGGCCAATTTTGTTATTCCCTTCTCTCTCTCTCTCTCTCTCTCTCCCAGCTGCATTTTGCAGCTCTTCAGAGCTGCCAGCTTCAATCTTAGAGTGTTCTTACAAAGCAAGCTTCCTCCCCTCGCCCTGCACCTTCCTAAGTTAATAGGCAGCTTTGGGGCACAGAGTTGTTCCATGCTTCATTTTCCTGCAAAACCCCCCGTATTTTAAATTCTGTGTTCTTCCAGGTGCTGGAGCTCAGTTTTGGGGCAAATCCTTCAGATTCCCCACTCCCTGTTGCAACGAGCAAGTTCTTAGTGTTGATGGTGCTGCGGTATTTAACTTTAGGTCTGGCTGATTTTTTTTTTTTTTTTTTTTTTTTTTTTAACCAAGTTTTGACTTCTCTAGACTCACAAAGGTCACAGAGCCAGGGCGGATGTGTGTTGTGTGTCCTGGTTTTGCTTTGGAGACCCATGAGCTAAGCAGCCCTTGCTATATGCAAGGTGTTAATCCTATCTTCAAAGTGGTAAATGATCTTATATGCAACACGCTAAACACTGCATATATAATCATAGGATCATTAAGGTTGGATAAGACCACTAAGGTCATCAAATCCATCTGTCAAACCATCTGTAATAATGTCCCTCAACGCACAACATACTCTATGCTGTATGCAACATGCAAATGCTATATGCAGTACGCTATATGCAAAGTGCAAATGTTATATGCTGTGCACTCTATACTGTATCCATTGCAGCCCTCCTGTGTGCACCATGGGCTGTCTCTGGTACCTTCACACCCTTGTAGAGGTCTTTCCTCTGGTTGCATGCAGGCTTCAGCAGCATGCAGGTGCAATTCAGTCCCTGCATTAGTTGATGCACTGGATTTTTATGGAGCATCTGATATGCACAGGGAGGATGGGCATCGCTTGGCACTTACTGTTGTTTTACTTACTGCTTTCATTCCCTGCCCCATTTGCTCGATTTCATTGACTGCAAGTCAGGCGCTGTGGAAAAGTCCATTGAAGGAGCCCCCAAACCTTGTGGTTGGTTTTTTGTTGTTGTTGTTGTTGTTGTTGTTGGCTTTTTTGTTTTGATTTTTGTTTTTGTTTTTTGTTTTTTTTTGTTTTTTTTGTTTTGGAAAACTTCCCAGCCTGGAAATCAGCCTGCATAGAGCTGAGGAGGGAGGATGCAGCTGATGTGCTGTGTTTGCTCCGTGCCAAGCTGCTCTCTTTGCCCTTTTGTTTGCTTGCTGCAGAGGCACTTGGTGTACTGATGGGCTTGTTTGTAACTAATGGCTGGTGCTCACATTATCTCTCTGGCATTATCTCCTTCCCTCTTTTCCCCATCTCCTTCCTAAAATAAACAGTCAATCACAGCTTGTTTTCAGTGCAGGACTTCTACCAACTTTGGGACAGATTCATGGTGCAACTGCCAAGGGCAGACAGGCTCTTAGTAAAGTGCAGGACCACGACCCACATCACAATGTGCAGTCACCATCACTGCCAGCTCTATATTTTCCAGGGCACAAAGTCTATAATAAGCAGAAGATTGGGTACCAAGCAAAACCAAATGCTGGAGAAAAGCAGTGGAAATGGGTGAACGAATAACCCTTGTTAATAGAGTCCTGACAAACCCATGACTGTCCATCCATCCATAGAATCGTAGAACGGCTTGGGTTGGAAGGGACCTCAAGGATCATCAAGTTCCTATCCCTCTGCCACAGGCAGGGCCACCAACCTCCATGTCTGGTACTAGACCAGGCTGCCCAGGGTCCCATCCACCCTGGTCTTGAGCACTTCCAGGGGCAGCATCCACAAACCTCTCTGGGCAGCTGTTCCAGCACCTCACCTCTCTCTCTGTAAAGAACTTCTCCCTGACATCCAATCTAAACTTTCCCTCCTTGAGCTTAAAACCATTCCCCCTTGTCCTATCACTGTCTACCCTTGTAAAACGTTGATTCCCCTCCTGTTTATAATTCCCTTTTGAATCCTGAAAAGCCACAATGAGGTCTCATCATAACCTTCTCTTATCCAAGCTGAACAAGTCCAGCTCCTTCAGCCTGTCTTCGTAGGGGAGGTACACCCATCTATTCCTGTGTCCAATCATCCCTGTGCCCATCCATGCTCACATCTGCCC